CTTCCTCAGTATCTTTTTGTGGACCAGTCCAGGCTGTGGCTGGGTTCCCGCATCCGCCACGCGAGGGACACGCAAGCATCTGAGGATGCCCCGGGCCAGAACCCAGCTCTCCTTGGACAAGCGTTAGCCCTGGTGGTGGACAGGCAGGAGGAAGACGCGGGTGGCGCTGTCCTGGCCCTAGATGACAGCAAAGCCAGAAGCGCAGCCTGGCGGGCGGAGGTGGCCACCCCGGGTTGCCTCGTGTCACGGGCCACGAGAGCATCTAAGCAAACAACCAGCAATGAGCAGGCCTGCCACCTGCCCAGGGTGCCTTCGCCCCTCCCTGGTCCCGGGACCCAGCCGTGAAAACTCCCTGCTAGCTGCTTCCCAATAGACGTTCAGTCCGTAACGTTTGGAGATTAAACCGTGAATGCTAAACAGCTGAGTGAGACCAGGTCGGCGGGGGAGCCGGGCCCAGCCTGCCCACGGGACCGGAGTTTCGGGAGCCCCCCGTGGAGGTCCGGCGCTGCAGCCCTCCTCTTCCAGGGCAGGATTCAACTTCCCAGGCACCCCTTGGGCACGGTCCGGGAACCCAGCTTGGGTCACACCCGGGCGGTTGGTAGGGCCTGCCTTGGAGTGCTCAGCTACGGCAACGCCATGGTAACCCCTTTGCTCATACCAGATCCCCGCCGTGCCAGAGAGGGGCCACGCAGTGACCCCAGACCACCAGGGTGAACCGGCCTCAGCTTCCCTTGGGGGGAAACAGCGCCCTTTGACTGCCCCACTGGCGGGGTCTCCTGAGCCCCACACACCCTGGGTCCCTTTGACTGCCCCACTGGCGGGGTCTCCTGAGCCCCACACACCCTGGGTCCCTTTGACTGCCCCACTGGCGGGGTCTCCTGAGCCCCACACACCCTGGGTCCCTTTGACTGCCCCACTGGCGGGGTCTCCTGAGCCCCACACACCCTGGGTCCCTTTGACTGCCCCACTGGCGGGGTCTCCTGAGCCCCACACACCCTGGGTCCCTTTGACTGCCCCACTGGCGGGGTCTCCTGAGCCCCACACACCCTGGGTCCCTTTGACTGCCCCACTGGCGGGGTCTCCTGAGCCCCACACACCCTGGGTCCCTTTGACTGCCCCACTGGCGGGGTCTCCTGAGCCCCACACACCCTGGGTCCCTTTGACTGCCCCACTGGCGGGGTCTCCTGAGCCCCACACACCCTGGGTCCCTTTGACTGCCCCACTGGCGGGGTCTCCTGAGCCCCACACACCCTGGGTCCCTTTGACTGCCCCACTGGCGGGGTCTCCTGAGCCCCACACACCCTGGGTCCCTTTGACTGCCCCACTGGCGGGGTCTCCTGAGCCCCACACACCCTGGGTCCCTTTGACTGCCCCACTGGCGGGGTCTCCTGAGCCCCACACACCCTGGGTCCCTTTGACTGCCCCACTGGCGGGGTCTCCTGAGCCCCACACACCCTGGGTCCCTTTGACTGCCCCACTGGCGGGGTCTCCTGAGCCCCACACACCCTGGGTCCCTTTGACTGCCCCACTGGCGGGGTCTCCTGAGCCCCACACACCCTGGGTCCCTTTGACTGCCCCACTGGCGGGGTCTCCTGAGCCCCACACACCCTGGGTCCCTTTGACTGCCCCACTGGCGGGGTCTCCTGAGCCCCACACACCCTGGGTCCCTTTGACTGCCCCACTGGCGGGGTCTCCTGAGCCCCACACACCCTGGGTCCCTTTGACTGCCCCACTGGCGGGGTCTCCTGAGCCCCACACACCCTGGGTCCCTTTGACTGCCCCACTGGCGGGGTCTCCTGAGCCCCACACACCCTGGGTCCCTTTGACTGCCCCACTGGCGGGGTCTCCTGAGCCCCACACACCCTGGGTCCCTTTGACTGCCCCACTGGCGGGGTCTCCTGAGCCCCACACACCCTGGGTCCCTTTGACTGCCCCACTGGCGGGGTCTCCTGAGCCCCACACACCCTGGGTCCCTTTGACTGCCCCACTGGCGGGGTCTCCTGAGCCCCACACACCCTGGGTCCCTTTGACTGCCCCACTGGCGGGGTCTCCTGAGCCCCACACACCCTGGGTCCCTTTGACTGCCCCACTGGCGGGGTCTCCTGAGCCCCACACACCCTGGGTCCCTTTGACTGCCCCACTGGCGGGGTCTCCTGAGCCCCACACACCCTGGGTCCCTTTGACTGCCCCACTGGCGGGGTCTCCTGAGCCCCACACACCCTGGGTCCCTTTGACTGCCCCACTGGCGGGGTCTCCTGAGCCCCGCCCACCCTGGGTCCCTCCCGCCGCCAGTGCTACCCCGGAAATCGCCAGCAATGAGTCCTCACTGCCTGCCCCATGGCCACTTTGGGCCCAGCCCCACGAAGGGTCTTGTGAGGATGGAGTTTTGGGCGCCGGCATCTCTCTCTTTTGTATTGATTTTAACTGACTGAACATTTGAGGCATCTAATGCAAATGCAGCTAAGATGGAAGAACTGAAAGAAACACGTTCCTGACCATGGCGGCCACTTTGGGCCCTTCTGAAGAGACTGGGAAAGTTGTCTAGGAGGCCTGGCGCTACTCTGAGACTCCAGAAACCTGAGGCCAGTTCCCATCTCTGCCACTGACTTCCTGTCTGACCGTGGTCAAGTTGCTTAATCACGCTGTGCCTCAGTTCCCAGCTATACAATGGGGAGTGACCGGGTCTTGCGGGGATAAAAGCCATGAACGATTGTGAAGTGCTTGGTTGTTAGGGCCATGAGAGCCCTCTGAGCCGCCGGCCGGATGGGCCAGCTTCTGGGGCGATGGCGGTTGGATGCTCATCATCAGTAAAAGCTGCAGTCGTCGTCCCTCCCTGGGAAACGATCTCGGCCCAGGAACGCCCACAGTGGTGGAATGAGCCCCGGGCAAAGGGGCAGCCTGACGCCAGCGCGCCACTGAAGTGCCACCCGGTGCCCTGACGGGGAGCTGGCGCCAGGCAGAGCTTGTGTGATGAGCTGCTCGGAGCAGGCGCGAGGTGCTGGCTCTGCCCGTCTTCATGGCTCCTTCGAACGCGGCCGCCTCAGGACTCCGGTTTGCCCTTCGCCGTGGCCCCAAGTCTCAGACTTTCCTGCGGTTGCGCTGGGGAGGCCTGGGCGGATGCTGATCGTCCTGTGGGCGCTGTCGTGGGGGGTCAGACACGGCCAGCAGCCTCCTGGCAGGACGATCCAGTGACACCCTTGGACAGTGCAGGGTCACTGGTTCAAAGAGACTTTCCTGGCCTCCCAAAGAGAGCGGAGAGCGGGGAAGCCTGAGCGTAGGAACCCTTGCACCTTTACAACCTGGAACTCCCTGGGGTGCATCTTTGGGCAGACGGGTCAGTTTCCTGTGAAAGTGGGAAGCGAGATGGGAACGGGGCGGGCTGGAAAAGTGCTCCCTCCTCCGCGAAGCAGTAATCTGGGTTCCCCTGATTTCCCGGCGATCTGTCTCGCTTACAAATCCCCTGCTTTGGACTCCAGGCTCTCCCCTAATCGGTGAGCTGTACGATACGGCATCATGGGCGCTCTGGGACTCCCGCAATCAGCAGCTGTCACGGCTCATTAGAGTGACACGAAATGAAATTGCTCTATTGCTTGGCAAACCATCGCTGCGACTCCCCGGTTGGTGAATTGCTGGGGATCCGGCGCCCATTGGAGCGGGCTGTGTCTCGTTGGCACAGCAGAGCGGGTTTACTGCTCTCGGGGGTCTCCGGGGGGACGGAGGAGCAAGCGGCGTCATCTCTCGGGGATTTGGGCGGAGTTCTCAACAAAGATGCAGCCAGAAAGGTGCTGAGCTACCTCCAGGTAGCAAACGTCTGTATCCGTCATAGACTCAGGGAGTCCCAGAGACCTCAGGAGCCATCGCGCCCAGCCCCCTGCCCAAAGCAGGACCAGCCCCAGCTCAGGCATCCCAGCCAGGGCTTTGGCACGCAAGGACTTAAACACCTCGGGGGATGGAGATTCCCCCCTCCCCAGGGAACCCATTCCAGTACTTCACCACCCTCCTAGTGAAATAGTTTTTCCTAATATCCAACCT